ATCACAAGTGCAGGTTAAACGTTACGCATTTTACAACGTTCTTAACGTAATATATTTGATTTTAAAACGGCAAAATAACCTTCCATCTTTGATTTGAATACTTTTATTTAGTGTATCGTTTATATAACATTTAATTTTATTTTACATGTTTAATTTTCGGCTTATATGTAGATATTAAATTCGAAATAATGTCGTGTAAGAGAGTGCAAGAGAGTTTAACATTGAGAAGATGCATACAAACTGGAAGATTGAAATGCTTTCTTCTAAATGTTTGTAACTGAAATTCTGGATTCAATATGGCACTAATATTTTATCGAATTTTAGTTACAAACGTTTAGACGAAAGTAACAGCATTAGCCGATGAAACATAGTTGTAAGTAATATTGAGAGCATGTCAAAACTTATAATGGATGGTTTAGAAACGTGTAATATTTATCGATCATAAAGATGAAGTATTAATTAATTACAATAAAGAAGAATAAAAATAAGTTTAAGAAGAAAGCGTTATCTTAAATACTCTTGTAAACATCCCAATAATTTCCTAAATAAATCTGAATTTGAAAAAGGACATGGTGACATTTTTATGAGTACAAATTATATCAGGAAGAACACGTTTATATGACTAATTCAAGAAAAATAACATTAATTACACAGGTCTGCAAAAAAATTTTTTTTCCAGCTGCATGGAATATTTTTGCTGAATTATATGTTTTAAATATCGCAGATTCTAAAAATAACTTCCGTTACATCCCATCACGTAAAGATTTTTGCAAAATAAAAACATATTTTTGATAAAAACACTTATTTATTACAATGAATTAAATATATTATATTTTCTTACAACTAATCAACAAATTGTTTCTGATATTTATACACAATTCTAGGCCTTGTCTTTTTTCTTATGAAACCTTTTTTTCTTGTTTTTTTTTTGATACTTCTCCAAACTCGTTTCCGATTTCCTTCTCTGGTTATTTGATTGAGCATCCAACAGTAGTCAGCTAACATATTGACATCCCGTTTTCTTTGATAACGTCTCTCGATATCACGGACATTCTGTTGAAATCTTTCACCCTGTTCTTCATTATAGGCCCTCAAGTTTTCAGGAAACTAGTCAATATGGGAGTGTAAGAAATGGACTTTTCATCTTTCATCCTTGAGCTTCATATGCTGCTGCCAGCATGCGTTGTACAATGGTTTTGTAGTCAGAATCCTTAGTATTCCCCCAAAACTTATGCACTACATTCTTGAAAGAGCCCCAGGCTTCTTTTTCCTTTTCTCCCATTGTTTCCAAAAATCTGTTTTGTCTTGATTTCCAAGTTTCAATTTGAAATATGCAAATTAAAGTTTCTTCACAAACTCGCTTATGTTTCTTTGTTGACTTTTCACTGTGTATTCACCACAAACATAACAGAAGTTGTCGGGAGAAATTACACAACCTCTGCGAGCCATATTCCATAAATAAAAATACAAGCGCAGTAGCATTCGAATGCTGGATATAAACTGAGTGTGGCATTAGATGGCCAGCGAGATACCTAAACTTATTTAGCTTGTTGAAACATGATCTAATCCAACAGCAGGTTGTTTATATTTATTCCTAGTATTCCAGATAACATGTCGAAGCATGCTCAACCTCACCAATAATATCACTCACTATCAACTTTTAACTTGTTTCTATACGATCATGCGACCTTCCTCCTAACGCTTAAACTACTTAACCCACCTCCCCTACCACTACTCTCTTCAACCATTAACATTTTTATTTATTTATTACCAAGTCCAGCTATAATTGATGGAATTAACGTGAGAAGTCTTCATTTTAAGGCCAATTTTTAAATAAAAAAATTTTTAAGTTAACTATGAATTTTATGCTAAATACAAACAAAAACTTGAGTGTAACAAAAAAAAAAAATTGACGAGATGGAATTTTTTTGGTATTTTTTTTTTCATTTTTACCAAGTTGAAATCTGTAAGAAAATATATAAAATTCCCATGCAGTTTTTTACTTGCAGACCTGTATTATACGTATTACAAGTTTATTACTTTCATTGATTTAAGGTAATAAACTCATAGTTGTACGATGAATTTGTAAAACTTAAAAACAGAAAAGAAAATTGTTTAAAATGATGCATTCGGTGACAATTTACTGACTTTATTATCTAATTTTTATTTTAATATAGTTTTATAAAATAATTATTAAACGAAATAGTTCTGTTTTACGAGGATATATTTGTGTTATACAATTAAATTATTAAATTTATTTAAACATTTTTCATATAGCTTTATTTAATTGTAAATTAAAAACTTGAAATGTTTGTTATAAATTATATATAAACTGAAAATTACTTACATGAAATTCTGCTCGATTATCCTTAACCCATCCTATGACAATATCACTGTTTGCCATTCCACCATTTGGAGATATTCCGAATCCAACCCATCCTTTAGTGGCTACTTCCACTTGGAAAGTTATACTGTCTTCACTTAAAAACCATACTAAATGATAATTTCCATTGTTATCTAAACGAAGACGATTGATCCAACCATTTCCATCTACAACCACCAGAAATACAACACATAACACATGATACGTAGACCAAAGCATCTTTACAACTTTTCACATTCGATGTTCAAAATCCATGTGAAACATCTGAATCTTTCATTGGATGCTATTATAATGACGTCAATTTTGCCCAAAGAGGAAACGATATATCATGTATTGAAATAGAGAAAGTGTTATTCGATAAGGGTCAAAACACTAGAACATATCGTGACATTTGCGACAATTATTTGTTTAAAGCAGATTTATAGCAGTTCACACGAGCGTGAAAGAGCGAATAAATGACTCCACAGAGGTTCGAGAGCAAATAAAAACTTGACATAATAAAACACTGTTGATAGCGAATGTAAGGTCAATGTCATCAACGCTAAAGCATAAATGTGTCCTTTAACTTTATAAAAATCCGTTTAGAAAAATACATTTTAAAAATATAATTTAAAGGAATAATTTCATATCATTTAAAACGTATTATTATAAATACTGAGCTTAGTTCGTTCGCAAAAAGGACAACGACATTGACGATATCATTGAAGATCCATTTAAATTTAATCGTATGAGATGAACCGGTTTCGATAAATAAATAAAAAAAAAATGTATTAAATTATCAATAATTTAAACCATACCTTATAATTTTACAATAGTATATTTTTTTTATTTAAATAACAGAAAAATTTTAAGAGGAAGGAAAAAAAAAACTTGAACTTTATTCAAATTCAATTGTTGTTTGTTTACTTGTAAAATTAGATACTCTTTAATTAATTTTTTATGTACATTACATATAAAAAAATAATAAAAATTGAATAAAAATGATGCACTTACAGGTTAGAACTGGTTATTTGTTTAGTGTTTCTGACACTTAAAATGTCCGTTTTAGCTTTTCTAGTGTTGTGCATCTTCACGGTTTCTGCACAAAATTTCGATCGGCATTCAAAATTAGACGACAATTACGAAATTTGGTGGTCGACGGACGAAGAATCTATTACTTTTCAAGTAGAAGTTGCGACTAGAGGATGGGTTGGATTCGGAATTTCTCCAAATGGTGGAATGGAAGGTAGCGACGTGGTCATCGGATGGATTAACGACGGAAAAGCCACATTTAACGTAAGATTTTGGAAAAAATTAACCATTTTTTCTATCGAAAAATCAATTGGTTAAATGTTCACAATTTAAATATATTTTTATTTGTTTTTCCACTTCAAATACTTAATATTATTTATTACGCTACTTAAAAAAATTAAATCAATAACATAACATTTAAAACCATCAAAGTAGATTTCTCTTTACTTGTATTTTAACAAATATGTTATGGTACTGTACATCCNAATATTTTATTTTATGAAAAATAAATATTTCATTAAATTTATTAATAATAATTTACTTTAAATAACGATAACAGATGGCGCTTCACTAAATGTTCGTTAAATTTACATTTGATTATCAAATATTTAATACCAACAAAATAAATAATTGTCTAATTCGATTAAATATTTATCTAATAAATATAGAGCATAAACTGATGAAAAAATTTATTTAAAAAATGAGAGATAAGGAAGAAAATGCAAAGAAATCGTCAATAAAATTAACAAAGAATTATATTTTATTCTCTTATAATTAAAAATACAGTAGATATAAATATTTCCATACACCATAGCACTTCATATGTTTTACATAAAACAGTGTTTCGATTATGTTATATCTTTGTTAGTATCTGTTTCTATATTCCACATAAAACCCCATTTTATTTTTTTCAATAACTCTAAAAAAAAATTAATATACATAAATGTGAGGATTTGACCACCATACAAATGGGTTTACAAAATGAAATTCGGGTTTTTTCTTTGCTTTGCAATTATCTATTGGTTGATATGATTCTTTAATATCTGGATAATTAATAGGACTGACCTGTAATAATAAACATATTTTCATCTAGTTATATATGTATAAATGTATTGTATTCTTTCCATATTTACCTGAAAAAATTGCCCCTTTTCAAGAGCACAAATTCCAATATGATCGCCATATCTCGTTGCGGATTGTACAGCATCTATCTGATTCTCCTTCCATAAATATGTTGATAAATATTCAATAGTCGATTCGTTTTTACCCGTTGTAGGAGAAATCAGCCATTCACCAGTCCTATATGAATAAAATTTAATTAAAAATCATCAAATATAAATTTTATGTTAATATAAAACTGACGAAAATGATACAAATATTAACCAATTAGAATTTAAAAATAATAAATAAATAAATAAATAAAATGTTTTAACCGATAAGAATATTTAATTTTTAAATACAAATTACAATTTATCTACGTGTAAACATTTGAAATTTTAATTATTTAGTAATTGGAGCGTTTAAATTTAAAATTATAACGAAGACCAATCAGAGTCGCTTAAATTTAAATTTAAATTTCACGATAGCCAATCAACGAATGCTAAACTTACGGGGCTACAATAGAAACTCCCGCTAAGCCAAGTGCGAGATTGCAACTAGGTCCAGATAAACTAGCAGCAACAGCAATTCGTGGATAATATAATATAAATGCTAAACACATTTCTTGCTGCGTTCCTAAACCACCCTAAAAATAAAACAAGCCATTTATTTTATTTTGTTATTATTATTATTATTATTACCTTTTTTTTTATTATCCGAAAGAAAGAAATAAACACAACATACCAAAGTGTTAGAAACTCGATCTGTAGAGTCGTAAACACATTCCACCGTTAAATGATCAGACTAATAATTACAATAATAAAAAAAATTTAACTATCAAGATTTTTTAAAAAAAAATTGACTAAAAAGCTAGAAAATTTTTCTTACTGGTAGAATTTTGACCTCTTTGGATAGGACGGTCCCATCCTGTTTATAAAAATACAAGGCAAATGATTGAGTTATATTAATGACTTCTTAAGTTTAATAACCAAAAAAAGGATTTAGCCAACCTGATAATTAAAATCGTAATACTTGTCTTCAGCTATGGGCTTTAATTCTTTTCCATTCCGAAAATGCCGCAGAGTTAAATGTGTTCCTGTAATTATTTAAAAGATGTGTTAATGTGATTAATCTAAGATTAATAGGCCATCGACATGATTTATTATTCACCTAATAAATGTGAATGAAGAAAAACCGATAATACATAAATTCCTTCAGGTGGAATACTCTGAAAATAAAGACAATCAGAAAATTTTTCAATATTTTCATGTGGTACTTAAAATTCTTAACATTAGAAATGCTTAGATTTGTTTTTTAATCGAAAAGATTAAGTATAAAACTAAGAAAGATTTTATTGAATGAAGCCACTTACAGAACCATAACATTTTGGATCTCCATGACCAGCAACAATAAATTTCTTCTGCTTTGGAGGGATTAAAACACATGGATACCAAATGGAACCAACCGATAGTATTCCAGCATCGTAAGTTCGTAATTTGGGTGTGTAATACAATCTTAGTCCCGAACTATCGACAATACCTTAAGAAAATGAAATTTTATTGGTAATCAGTTGAAAAATAGTTTAATTTTGATTTATTATCAAGCTATTTAATCCATAGAAAATATGATTTCATCAGTATACCACATCTATAAAAGACTTTTTCCGACAAGATAGAACATTACAACAATTTTGTTTACGTGGTTTATAGACGGTAATGATTTCGAAATATCAAATCTGATAGAAAAAAACAAATAACACTAAAACAGTGTTATTTGTTTTTTAGTTTTTAGTTTGATATTTAATCGGCGCTTTATACAGTTCAATGGGCAAACAGGGCAATTGTCTGGAGTCCCCAACAATAGGGAGCCTCCAATCAGTGTTTTGTAAGAAAATATCTTTCCCCAAAAAAATCCACTGAAGAAAAATGTCAACATTATACAGTGCACGGAGCTCGCTAATCCAAATTTTGCCTGGTCCCACGAAGCTATAACGTGCCACTGAGTTCAAGTTATTCAGACAATGACTTAAACATATGCTTACCTTTCGTAAGGCTCGGATTGTCGTAATGTATCTCGAGAACATAATACGAATTTCCATATAACGGAACTCCAACATGATCTGGGTAGAGGTTTCCCTAATAAATATAAAGTTTATTTTACATTACGAAAAAAAGAATCAGTTGAGTTAAATGATTTACCTCTCCCCCTACACCCCACGCAGAAACGATTATATTACAGTTTTGGAATTGTCTAATCCAAGAATTTTCATAACAAGGATAATATTGATTCAATAGATTGTCCATTTCGCTTTCAATAACAACTGTACAAAGATTAAGGACCAGATGGTGGACGTAAGGTTCGTTACCAGGTTGAATTATCGGTTGTGACTGCAAAAGAATCAACTTAAATATTTGTATATCTATTGGAAAACATTTTTATTAAACTACTACTCACTCTTATAATATGGTGCTTCGTATCTAACGGAGGTACTTTATGAATCGAACAGAAATACATAGTATCAACATCCCCAGGGATAGTTGCCTGCATATAACGATTAAATCTGTACGAGTTTTTTCGATTTTTATGATGCAATTAATTTAATAAAAAAATCTTACGTTCGGAGTTAATACATCCCAAGAAAGAACATCATCCGTAAGCTTTATATCATCACTCTGCTGAGGTTTTAATAGTAAAACACTTTTAGTTCCGCGATTTCTGCTACCGTGATACATTATTTCATCAACGGAATCGGGATCTTGTTCGTGAAAAGCATAGATGATTCGTGCTGTTTGCTCCTATTTAAAAACGGCGCGATGAAAATTATAGTAATAAAAACTTTAATTAAGAAGAGAAATTTTTACCGGGATGGGTAGATCTTTATCGTCGCAGGTATCCAATTTTCTTTGAAAACGTAACATAGTATGAGTACCATTCTCATAAAAACGTAATAGATTCCAATCTTGTTTTTTGTCAATGATGGGTTTCGTGTTACCAATGGCGTGATAGTCCTACAGAAACGAATTATTACGAATAATAATAACACCTTGAGTAGTCATTTACATGAAAAAAAAAAACGATGAGAAAAATTTTCTTTTATGCTTTATTGAGACTTAAATATTGAGTATTTATAATTATAGTTAAGCCAGTGACAGGAAAAGCAAGACAAAGAAAATCTAACCGGTTCTATTCTTTTTTCTTAAAGGAAACATTTTAGAATTGCGTGCATTCATGTTTTATTTATTAACTATTCAGTTTTATTAGTGTTATGAATAATTAACGTAATAATAGACATATATATATATATATATATATATTTTAATGAACCATCGTCGTCCCCGTACGCTGCC